ATATATATATATATATTCCATTTATATTACCGATTTGCTTCTCTTTATTTTCGCAAATCGTACTTTAATATCGTTCAATCAAGCGAACGAGTGTACGAACACTTTGTTAAGAAGTGCTCTTTCAAAACGAAATTTTATCGATTTAAAGTAATACTTCTGCATGCAGAAGTTTGAGAAACTTTTATCCAACGTTTTCATGTAAATATCTTTGTATGATCTTTTACCTTTTTGTTTCTCTTTACGATCATTTTTCACGATCTTTCACCATTGTCATTGCTTCTATAAATAAAATAAAAATGATAACTACACAGAAGTTCAATAGCCGCGAATGCAAATAAATAGTTATAAAATCTAAGACTTTGACGAGCTGTATAAAATTCTTGAAAAAAATCCCCAGAATATACCACTGTCGATGTTAAAAAGACGTGTACATGCCGCATACCATGAAAGAATCAAAATTTTTCCTCAACCTCGATTAAAGACGTTGGATCCCCGCGAAAAAAATCTCTCAGAAATAACATTCTCGATCGTGATCGATATCGAATCACCTGAAGGTCTGGACTGAGGCCACCGTGGCAGCAGAATATCTTCTCGTCGATGATCGCGGCGATCGGTAGACAGTTGAAGCAATCGGTGAACGTTTTCCATAGTTTGATGTTGTATCTCCTCTTGCACTCGTCGTAGAACCCGTATATCCTGTTTATGCTGGCACACTCGTGATTGCCTCTCAATAGGAAAAAGTTCTCCGGATATTTGATCTTGTAGGCGAGCAACAAGCATATCGTCTCCAACGATTGTTTGCCCCTGTCTACGTAATCGCCGAGGAACAGATAGTTCGCCTCCGGCGGGAAACCACCGTATTCGAACAGCCGTAACAAGTCGGTGTACTGGCCGTGGATATCGCCGCAGATCTTAAGCGGTGCCTCCAACTCAAGCAGGATCGGCTGCTGAAGGAAAATCTCCCGTGACTTGAGGCAAAGGCCGCGCACTTCGCTCTCTGACATTAACACCGTCTTTCCTGGCCGGCATCCTCGGACTGCGCCCAAAAATTCGCACGTTTAAATGGATTTTCTGCCTCGGCCCTCCACCCCCCTCCTCCTCCTACCACCGGGGGGTTGGACGACGCATCGC